TTCCGCCACTCAGGAGTGCTGCAACTTACTTGGTTGACTACGCAATGCCTTCATGGTGTTATACTTATTGCTGCTCTACAGAAAGTCCCAGAGTTCCTTGGTTACAAGGAAATCTTGCATAGACTGAAGTTTCTTCCTTCGTTTTGGACCTTGATTGTCCTTGCTGTCGTTCTTCTCTCTAGGTTTGCAACATTATCACTTTCCTCTGAGTCGTCCTTGCAAATGCTGATATTAATCGTTTTCTCTATGAGCTATGTAGTGAAAATTCTTTTAATAGGCTTTTTGAACTACACACAGTTGAAAATGTTAAAATACCACCACCCGAAACGTGTTTTTTATGTTCTAAGCAAGTTAGCACTTTTCGTTTTTGTTGTAGAATGTGTGGTCAGTTTCGTTATGTCTTTTATAGCAATGTTACTTAAAGTTGAAGAGATTCAGATGGGTAAAAGAGAAGAATTGTCAGGTGTTATGAGGACATCTGACATCTTACGGCAAATAAGTGTGGCCTTCTTTCGTCTTAGGATATTGAGCTTTTTCTGGAATAAACTGTTTGTTGACGACAAAAATATACTTTCTAACTTCGAGAACTTGCCACACCAAGCATTTCTCCTATGAAGGGGAGCCACGATCAGCAACTTGAACAATGTAAATGATACAGGGGAAGGTAAAAGAAAAAAAGAAGGGAAAAGAAATAAGAGGAGAAAGCAAAGTACCTTTTCATCCACGTAGTAGGCTTAGGATGTTCTCCAAGTGATCCACCACCAGATAAGCATGCCAATCAGATCATAAATTACCAGGATGGAGACAAATTTTTTTCCAATTTAAAAAACAGTGTAGTCATGCCTCTTTCTTTTCCTGTACTAGAGTTAAGTAATTTTGCGCTCACGCAAGTTTAAAAACGAAATGTTATTTGAACCTAGCTAGTTTTCTTTCAAAGGTGTACATTCTTAAGTAAAGCTGACTGTGGCTCTAGAATGCATGCCTTTATTGCATTTTGTAAGTAAGAGGAGTTACAAGAGTGTTCAGTCAATAAAGCTGCATTGACACTGTACCGCTGTTGTTGCTCTTGGAATTTCCAGTAACCATGACTGACCTAGAGAAAAACGAAAACATGAAATTGTTTAACGGTCACCTTTAGCGGGTCTATAGTTAATTTTCAATGTATTATTTTGTCTTATTAACTTTGATTATTGTAACATCAAAAAATATATAAATAAATTTTTTTTTCTTATGGACGTTTATCACACCCTTCATTACACATCGCGCATTTAAAATCTCCCCGCCATTTCTTTGTTGAAGTCGTCAACGTTTGTATACAGAAAAGTTTATTGTGGTTTCCGTCTTTAAATGGGTTTGGTTAAATCACCTAGAAAAAAAACCATCAAGACTCCATTAAGGCCTCAGCAGAAAGAACTGATGTGAACGGTGATGTAGTGTAGTTTTGGTAAACATTTACAACACTAATTCAAGCATTCGGTAAGTGAAAAATGATACAAAATTCAACCGAAATGCTGAATTCAGTGCTCGCATTTGGCTAGATATTACAGATATTTTCGTGAACAGATAAATATTAGTATAGGTAACAACATGATTTCGAGTCCGATCTGGTGTTAATAAACACGAGTAAATTTTTCAAAGACAGCAAAATTTCACGAACCCATAGGGCGAGTGAAATTTGTAGTCTTTGAAAAATATAGAAGTGCTTATTTTACACCAAAATGCACGAGAAATCATATTTTTACTTATTAATAACTTACGTGCAAAACGCATCACAGAAAGTCAAAAAAGAGAGATGAAATTTTGGCAGCGCGCGCACTATTTGTAATTTACACTCGAGTTACATGAAAAATGCACTCGTTTTCAGCCAATCAGACGCACGCAATGTATATTATAAGTCATAAAAAACACTTACATCACGATCACGACACTTTCAAGTCAAGGGTTTCCTTGTCCTGGCCGAATTGGTTGACCGCTGTACACTCGTACCGCCCTGTGTTGTGTTCTGTGACTACTCTTATAACCATGCGAGTACCAATTGGTTGTCCTTTACTGTTAACCAGCTGTACGAGCTTGGGAATACCAAGGAAGTCACCTGGAAAGACAAGAGTAGCCATTGTATATATTTCAGTTCGAACAAGAGAACAGTCAAGGAATAAACGAAGATTCGAACGAAGAAGGAAAGTACGAAAAAATTAACTAGTTGTCGTGCAAGTGATGATGAACTTGTTTGAAATGAAATCAATATCAATGGCGATTAGGATGAAAGCCTTTACAAAAATGGTAATAGTGACAGCTTTGTAAAACTATGGAGACTATTTACGATAAAGGGAAAAAGAAGATGAAATGGAAGAAGACTTCCTCACCAAATTCGTATCAAAAAGTTTTAACGTGTTGAACCATAGCCCAATGCCATATACGCAAATAATAATCTGCAAACTATTGTTTCTTTGAAATTAAAAACTCTCAAGGAAAAAAACCTGACGCATGTGTAATGGATGCTTTGCAGCAATGACATAGCAGATCAATTGATTGAAAAAATTCAAAAGCAACATTAACGTTGTGTACGACTCACTTGGAACATCCTCCAGAAAATGCCAACTGACAAGTGGGGTTGGCGAGGCATACGCATAACAGTCGAGCACAGCTTCTCTACTATTCGTGTCTACACTGGAGTTCAAGCTGGTGATCACCGGGGAAACTGAAGAGATGAATACCAAATTACCGTTTGCGCTTATTTTATTTACACGCACCTGTCTTTTCACGAGTACATTGGTCCAAGTAAATTAGTCTCTTACCGCCACATGCCTCTGCAGAAGTCGCAGCCAATTGCAAAGTCTTGGTCCCATGCTCACAGTTTTTACATGCGGTCTCTCCAGGTTGGTCCTGGTAAGTATCTTTTGGGCAGACTCGGCACAGAGGACCTGACCCGTCCGCACTGAATTTACCCGCGGGACACTGATCTGTCGAAAGAGAATGGTGAGGGTGTTGGAGAGGTACAAAACAATGGCGAATAGGGTGGTGGGGTGGGGAGGGGTGCAAAATAGTGGTGAATAGGATGGTGGGGTGGGGAGAGGTGCAAAACAGTGGTGATTAGGATGGTGGGGTGGGGAAGGGTGCAAAACAGTGGTGAATAGGATGGTGGGGTGGGGAGGGGTGCAAAACAGTGGTGAATTGGATGGTGGAGGAGGGTGGAGGGGTGCAAAACAGTGGTGAATAGGATGGTGGGGTGGGGAGGGGTGCAAAATGGTGGTGAATATCAACGAAAAACCTGCAACATTGATTAATGTTGAAAATTCTTCAAAGATTGTAGTGGAACAAAGCCTGAACATTTCCATATTTGCACTTTTTTCCTATTTTATCAGCAGTCTAAACACTCTCAACCATTTCCATTGAAACGATACTTACACCTCATCAAATGGCTTAAAAGAAGAACGTAGTTAATGTCATTAGCTTAGTAACTTGCTGAGATGAACAAAACTAAATTCACATACTTCAGGCGATTTCTTTAAGCGTCTAACTTAGCAAAATAAACCCTCATTAGTCGTAAATAGTAGCTTCTTGGTGTTATTACACTTACCTACAGCCCTCGGAAACAAGACGTCATTTGCCATATCTGAAAATGTCAGAGAAAATTTTTACGAAAAGATTGCGTTTAATTTAAAAGTAAATCAGTGGTAATATTTGTTAGAAAGAATATTCAACTGAAATTTGTATGACTAAAAAAAAGGGTGAAATATGAATTTAACATTGCGGCGTTACTGAATCTTGTTCAGTTCAATTTGAGCTTTTTATTCTTACAGTAGCAGAAGTGGAGGAATACTTTGAAATTAACGTGTAAGAGTATCTTTCGCTACTGTACTAACATAATAAGAATGCTGATTAAAAAGACGTTAAGTGTTATACCGTTAACCATTTAAGGAGCTGCGATATAGGGCTTGGGTGAACTTGTAAATTCAGCTGCCAAAATTGAATAATTTAGAGAGGTAAGCGATAGTATCCTGTTTCTAATGCATATTAACCGTTAGGCTTGCTTAACCTTACCTTTCTTTCGTGTTGTTTCTCTCCTAACAGATGATTTTGTAACAGTGAGTTGAGCAGCACGAGTCACTTCACCATGTGTGTTAGCTGACATGCAAGAGTAGCTTCCGCCATCTGATGAGTCTGCATTTCCGATGGTCAGCTGTGTTCCTATGGGATTACCGTTCTTGTCCTTGATTGGGGCTTGAGTTTTGGAACCTACGGTATGCAATTGCCATCTTCACTATTAGTTAGTTGTAGGGGATGAGGAATTATCTATCACCATTGTCTAGCTTTGCTAATGAAGAGAACCTTTATGTGACCTGAATTGGCGAGAGGCTCATATTAAAGAAGCATCTATCCCAACAAAACTCGTGAACAAAGAAAATTTTTATCAAATACACATGTTGAGGAAAACAGGTCTCCGTGTCAACTTTAATTTCTTATGGATTCATCTACACCAGCAAATGTTCATAAGGAGTCTTCTTTAAAAAAAATACGGCAAATGAAAGACACAATGCTATGATGAATAAGACGAAAGGAAAGTGTATTTCGTAATAACATCATTTATGAACTTGACGTTACGTATGCAGATTGGCGCAAAACGCGTCATCCTTTGTTCATGTTTGTCACGGCAGTGTGAAAAATTATGTGAGAAACTTGACTTTCAAAGGTTAGAAAAATGCCGTTTCTTTTTTTCCTTTTTTTTGGTCAAGGAAGCTCATAGATGGATTTCAATACTTCTCAGCAACTTACCTTTACCATTAACTGAGTACTTCCAATAAACAGAAGGCGTGGGTTCTCCATCTGAGAAACATTTCAACACCACAGTCCCACCCACACTGACTGAAGCAACGTCTCCCGGCTCAAGTTTTGTGATTTTGGGAGACCCTGTGGGTTAATTGTTCAGACAAATATCATGGAGCAATTTTTTTTTAATTCCGATGCAAAGTTTTTATGAAGAAATAAGCAGAAAAAAAGACAGCGTTTCCTTTATCCAAAGAGATTGTGATTGATGATATCTCTCAATTATACCTGACAGAAATATAAGTAATGCATATTTTATCAGGAATTTTTTTCATCGTATTCGTATTTCTTTCATCACTATATAACCATTTGGAGAAATGGTGGGTTCTTAAAGGATGCACTTACAACCCCCCCCCTTCCAACCCCATTCACTCACCCCACCCTTTTCCCCCCCTTTCCCACCCCCATTCACCCACCCCACCCTGTGCCCCCCCTTTCCCACCCCCATTCACTCACCCCACCCCGTGCCCTGATATACACTTGTCCTGACCCCGCCTGTCAACGAAGACTAAGGTTGTGGGAAGATTTAATTGTATTGTGACTTGTGATTCTTGTAACTTACTTCCACAAAACGTAGCTCCAATATGCAGCGTGTAGGTTCCCTGTGGACAAGGCAAGCAACTTGTCCGCTGTGGTTTGTCTTGGTATGTTCCATTGGAACAAAATTTACAGAATGGGCCAAGTCCATCCTTGGAATATCGACCAGGAGGACAAATAACTAATGGATTAATTTTTAGGACACAAAAAGTCAAGAACCTTTTATTATTATTATTTTTTTTTTTTTAGCTCAGGCCGGCTCATCTTGTGTGATTGAGAAACTTACTGAAAATGTTATAGAACGTTAATATGTTTCAAAGAAAAGTTAAACTTTTGCCAGAAATGATTCAGAAAACTCGCAGCACCATCTCAACCGATAAAATATATTAAACCAAAGCAAAAGGTAGTTTTCCCACCCGCGTTTTCCCACGCTAAAGCCGTTTGGAAGTTCTCACTTTCGGAGTCGGTTCTCATTAGCTAGTTGCAAAATGGTGATTTCAAGAAAATTCAAAATGAAAGCACCACCTCCGACTGGTTTGCAGATAGCAGAGGTTCGTGTTATTTTTATTACTCACGTCGACACTTGTATGCTCCTTTTCCTGATTGTGTCCCTGAAGGACATGCCTTACAGTCTGTCTGCCCAGTTTTATCCTGAAACGTGCCTTCTGCGCATGCTTCACAGGCGCCATTTTTGTCATACGTCCCTGGTGGGCATTCATCTGTAACAATATGTAAGAAATAGTGTGAAGCCTAAGAAAATATTTCAAGTCCCACGTAATTAGTATACTAAGATCTGATTCTAAAGCTGAAGTTTCGAGCATTAGTCCATCATCAGAGCGAATCGAGGAGTTGTGTGTTGTGCGTGGACCAAAACCAGAGACTGAGGTAAATACCTGAGTGTAAATGTTTCTTATCTAAATTAACATCTTCAAAACTTCACAGCACGCGAAATAAATCAACTTACAGCAGCCTGAGCCAAACGACGAATTCCGAATGCTACCAACGTCACATGGAAGACTGGTATTGACCTCCTTGTAACCTAATAGAAAGTGAGGCAAAAAAGATTGCTTATTTAGATGACTAAGTTTGTGGAATGTTACCAAACAAGGCAAAAAAGTTTCTTTTACTTAAGGTTATAAGTTTCATTCTTCATTTATGATTATTTGACAAAATTAAAACTGCAACCAATACGAATTGGTCACTCTTCTTTTCCCCGCATTTCGGTCACTTGAAAAACTTTTTAAATTCTGAGTTGTCACCGGCACTTTGTTTCATTTATTAATGATATAATTGGGTTTTAAGATACTCCTCACTCGAGCTTCTTTGTTGTTGTTCGGTAAATAAACTTAACACTGCTTACCAACACACTGTGGAACTGGTAACGATTGAGGATAACTTTTCCATTTTCCATCAGATTTTCCACAAGACCACCAAGAATAGACACCAAAAGGCTTTTCGCCCTGAGGGCACGTTCTTATACAATATCTGGTGGTCCCACCCAGTATCCAATGGCACGTCATTGAACCACTAGGGGGGTCGCTTTCAGGGGGCAATTGGCATCGTTCTCCTGCGTGGGAAAAATAGACTTTCAGACAAAACCACTGTCCTTTTCTCTATTGTCTTTCTACTATAATGAAGAAATAACGATACATTCACCATAAAAATTTTGTCCAAAATATACGCTAACGATTTATTACATTCCAGTTGAATAACGTCATCTGTTTAGAAAAAAAAAACCAACCACGGCTGGCAGAAAAATACCAGTAATTCCAGAACAATGGTGTAAAAAGTTGTGTATAGCGACTTTAACTCAGTCTCCAGCAAAGCGTTCAAGCAATTTAAAAGGCACATGCAACAGTATTCTCAGAAAATCTTACTCGAAAAATGTATCCCCCTTAAAAACTATTCATGAACGAAAAAAAAAGCACAGGGCACCCAAACTAATTTCGTCGACCACGATGTAGAACAACTGTCCAGCGGTTTTCATTTTTCTATCAGTGTCCAAAGTTTCTCGATTCTCTTACTCCTGAGATTACACACTCTATCTTTCGCGACACAAAAACTTAAAATATCTATTTTCAACATTACGGACTATTATGTGGATTGTCAACTCGTTATTTACAATATCTGTTGTCTAAGTTATTCATCTCGTACTACTTACGTGCACTGATGGTTATTTTAGGTTTTCTCGCCATCGATCTGGTTTTTTTTTCTTTGCCTGTTTACCATTTGCAGTAAATTTTTGTAATTTTGTGAGTAATGGCAAATAAAATAAAAGTAAAAAGAGGAATCTCTTACTATAACATCAGTTTCAATCACTTATAATGATTGTCTCCTATGTCTTACAACCTGTATTCTTACCTCCGACATACAGGATGATTTTACAATCCGCTGAATTTCCACTGGCGTCAACAGCAGTGAAAGTCATGTGATAGCCACTTGTTCTTGACAAAGACTTGCCGTCAATGAGAGGAGGAATGTATCTGACAATACCAACATTATCACTGAAGACCGGTCTTGAGATGTTTACCCACACTTGAGAGGTGCTGTAGGACACTTTGTAGATCTTCTCTGGACAGAAGACAACCTTGGGTTTTTCATTGTCTTAAGAAAACGCAGGGGAATATAAACAAACGAGACAGTTTTAGAAGCTGTGATCATGGAGAGAAGCATGGCGCAAAACTTTATCTATTTACCTTTGTAGCTAGTTTCTTGCTCAAATATTCCTGTTCGAAAAACTTCGTAATATTAAGTTCATAACTACGCTGGCAACGTTGCGTTTTCAGTTCGTCCTCTCCTTTGCCTAAGGGATTTTTTGCCTGGATCTCCAGTTTTCCTTCCTATATAGGAATAACGCTGAAAAATTCTAACTCAACCTTAATGCAGTACTTTCCACCAAAACCTTTTTTTTGGAAGAATGTGTGATCTTAAGTATACACCACCTTGGGGAAGTATATTTTAACAACGAATACTATGAAGAAATTACTGAAGAACAAAAACGATATGCACCTTTCACACCCACAAGCACTGTGCAAAATTTCGCTTGACCGATTTCGTTCACCGCTGCCCACCTGACAATCGTGCTGCCGAACGGGAATCGGTAGCTGCTGCTTACACCAGGAGGTTCAACAGCAGTGACGTTCTTAACGTTAGCTGTGGGGATTTTCCACTGATCACTGACATCCGCTGTGCTCATCCCCGGCTTTAGAACCACATTAATGTCAGAAGGACACGTGATATACGGTGCTGGAAGAAGGGATTGTGGGAAAAAGAGCCACAGTGATAATTAATACAATCATTTATTTTGAGAGACGCAACGACCCAATTATCAGAGTGTTTTTTAGACTTCACGGTGTTTTTTTTCCCGGGTAGGACACGTGCTTCTCTCCAACGGTGTCCTTCTTTACTTAGGAAACTGGCAAAATGACAGTGAAATGTAAAGGGCTGCAGATCATCAGTGGCATGCACTCCATGTCGCTTCATACAACAGAAGCAGAAGTATTAGAACAGCAGCTTCACAGCGAAACTACAAGAATCTAGTCCTAATCGGGGATAATTTCCAGACCGTTCGGAAGCTCGGAATAGCAATTTAAATCGAAAAAATGGCCACACAACAAGAAAGCCCTAACCGAAATAAAGTGATATTGATATAACTTACTCGGATGCTGTTTTTCACAAATCGGTTCCGTTCCACTCCATTTACCATCCGCCTGACAGTCCCTGTAGCTAACTCCCTTCAGATCGTACCCGGAATTACACCTGTAAAAGCATCGACCTCCATAACGAGTGGAGCCATCAAGATATATTTTGCAGCTGGCCTGCACAGAACCATTTGGAATGTCTTTTAGTGATGGACATGGTCTTCCTGTTAAAGTTCAGCAAGATATTTCACCAACTTTATCGGTTGTATTATGTAAATTTTCCTCTTCAGTATGTAAGTGTACGTTTTCACACAAACCTCTAAACAGATATTTAAGGATATCTCTTTGAGGCAATTATTAACCCCAGTCAAGTTTCCTTGAAAAGACTATTTGTATTGAAATGTAGACACATATATTCCTAGCGACAAAGCATGCTAAATCATCTCTTGCGTTAATGCAACTTCACCTCCCTTACCTATGCAATACGATGGATGAGGAACCCACAACCCATCTTTGCCGCAAGTTGTAATCTCAGCCGCTGGCTTATTCAGAACATTTCCATGATTGCACACAACTTTGCAGGTGTCCTCGTATTTATTTTTTCCCTCTTGTGTGCATTTTGCAGGATGAAGTTGACTACGAGAATCTCTGTCTGCGCTGAAGTGGGAGCACGTCTTACCTGAGGGACAATTTAAAAAAAGGCTGGAACTACTAAAATAAAAATTTTGAGGTTAAAAACTAATGAGTCCACTGTAGGTAAATAACGATATGGCGATAGAGCTGAAGAACTCGGAAAATGATAGAGTGGGGAGAAAGACATTCTGACGATTGAAATATATTAAACAGCAAACGGACGGTAACAGGAAAGACAAAGGCACAATTCCTAACACACTGGGAAAAATATTTCACCAATTTTATGACTATTGCAAATGTAATGAATACTGATATCATGCTTCGAAAATGCATGTTTCCGAAAGCGAGTTAGAAGACAGAATAGTGCAAGTACGACATTGGCGGGAAAACGCCGATTTTAGCAAACTATTTTGAATTTCAGACAGAAATGGATGTCTGTTTCCCCAATACATTATCCAAGTTATCACTCGCGTTTAAGGTCTTGACACTCAGATCGATTTTTTACGTGAAGATGCCTCCGAGAACAGAATTTTGTCCAAGAGAGATCTATAAATAGCTTAAGTGAAATCGTCGAATTACGGACAAGAAGGCTGCTTCCCTATCCCCTCATATTCTCCTGATGTCTTCAGGAGAAAATCACATACGTTTACAAGATGAGTAATCCTTCCACTCGTATCCTGGTTTACATTTACACTGAAAACCACCAGGGTAGTTTCTACATGTAGTTGTCGTCTTGTCGCAATTGTCCTTCCCCTCTTTACACTCGTCGATATCTAAGGAGAGATGACGACAATGATAACTTTATTTGATGACTTGGAGATCAGTATATTTGAAAAACTGTTTCCTTAGAT